TTCTTGTTACTGGAACAGAGCAGGATCTCAGTGTTTGAGTTCCTATAAATACTGTTGAGGGGGTGTGGTGTATAGCCTCCAATGTTCTGGGCAGAGAGGAAGTTCCCAGGCTAGTGTGCCTTTTCTTCTTTTGTTCCTTAATTACTTGAGGGATATCTTGAGTGATTTCTTGAGTGATATTCTGAGTACCACTTAGGTGGGTCATTAGGTGTGGATTAGTTGCTAAAGCCTTCGTGTCTTGACCTCTTGAGCTTTGTGAAGAGTTTTTCTGAGAAGATGGCTGTACTGCACTTAGTTGTGCTCTGGCTTGGCTTCGTGTATAGGGGCGAGCTGTGGTTTGTGTCCTGTGCCAGCCAGATCTGTGTAGGGATTGCAGGGGGGTGCAGCATCCGGAGGTGCCACCATGGTTTGGCTACTGGATGGTGTCTGTAATTTATCTGTGGAGAGGGTCTGGGTTTGGGTCTGGTGTGGTTGATTGGTGATGGCGTTCTGTGTGCCTCTGGATCTGGTGTCGGTTTTGTGGGGAGGGCTAATTTCCAGATGTCTGGCAGCGGGATGTGTCGTCACGCTTGTTCATGTTGTGAGGGTGTTTCTCTATCTCGATGGCTTCCATGATTATTCTCTTGTGGTGATGTTCCATGTTAAAGAGCAATTTGGAATCTGCAAAATTAATTTCGTGTCCTGTTTCTTTCATGTGTTGGAAAAGAGAGGAAGTTTTTTCTTCTTTTTTGACGGCATTCTTGTGTTCTGCGATACGTGCATTTATTCGTCTGTTTTTTGTCCAATGTACGTGGCTGGGCAGACTTTGCAGGGTATTTCATAGACCCCTTGGTTTTCCAACTGGATTTTATCCTTGGGGTTTCTGAGGATATTGGCTATTTTTTGGTTGGTGCAAAAGGCTGTTTTGATATTGTGTTTATGGAGGATTTTGCTAATTTTATCTGTAGTGCCCTTGATATAAGGAAGGAGGGCCATGCCATTGTTTTCTTCTGTGTCTTGGTTTTTGGGGGGTGTTTCTTTTTGGATTAGCTTCGTAACCCTGTTTTGCTGGTATCCATTGGCGATTAACACATCTGAGAGATTCTGTAACTCAGTTGTCAAGTGGTCTTTGTCAGCCAGGCGTTTGGTTCTGGAGATGAGAGTCTTGGCTACGGAGTTTATTTGTGCAGGGTGGTGGTGTGATGTGCATGTAAGTAGCGGTTGGTGTGTGTTTTTTTCCGGTAGATAGTGTGTCCTAGGGAGCCATCAGGTTTTTTGTAGATTAGGACGTCAAGGAAGGGAAGTTGGTTGTTGGCTTCTATTTCCATAGTGAATTGTATTTTGGGGTGTAGGCTGTTGAGATGTGTGAGGAAGCTATCTAGTTCGCCCCTATACAGCTCGCCCCTATACACGAAGCCAAGCCAGAGCACAACTAAGTGCAGTACAGCCATCTTCTCAGAAAAACTCTTCACAAAGCTCAAGAGGTCAAGACACGAAGGCTTTAGCAACTAATCCACACCTAATGACCCACCTAAGTGGTACTCAGAATATCACTCAAGAAATCACTCAAGATATCCCTCAAGTAATTAAGGAACAAAAGAAGAAAAGGCACACTAGCCTGGGAACTTCCTCTCTGCCCAGAACATTGGAGGCTATACACCACACCCCCTCAACAGTATTTATAGGAACTCAAACACTGAGATCCTGCTCTGTTCCAGTAACAAGAAGCCGAAAGCACCAGCCTGAAGATGACGAGTGAGACCTCGTCGAAACGTCGCCTAGACACCCCAACTTTTACACGGGAAGACACCCGAGGACACCAAAACCTGCATTCCTGTACCCGTGAAAATCTACGAAAGCAAATATATATATATATATATATATATATAAATAGGAAGGGGGGAAACAGGTTTCCATGGTCTGTGTCATCTGACTGACATTTAGGAAGGCATTCAGAGTTTGTTTTGGCTTTTCCCCAAGTCTTTGTTGCAGAGAAAGAGTCCTCTTATCTTGCAAAGCCTGAATATTGAACTGTGGTGTTTGTATTGTTTCCAAATTACCTCACCAGCTTAATATATCTGACGGCAAGATTATTATGTAGTATTTTGTTTTTTTACACTGGATGATAAACAACAGAGGGAGTTTATCACCCTTACTCATTAAGAGTAGCATAAAAATTATAGTACCTGCACACCCATTTTAAAATGGTAAATATACAAGCAAAAAAATATGAGTTCTACTTTCATCCCACACTCACGTTCTGATTGCTTAGCAACAGATTGGGCTTTAAAAATAAGTGCCTAGTCTCATGTTTGCAAAATAATATTATTATTTTTTACAGTTAAATAATGAATGCCATCGTTAGGTATAAGTCCTTCACTGCCCCTCAACAACACCCTATGTGTCTGTGAGAGAGGGAGAATTTACACAAAATGAGTTTTAAATACCAGTCAATGTGATGAAACTTGTGCTGGAGTAGAAAGATTTGTATATATTGTATTTGTATATATTGTACAGTGCCTCATGTAACCAACAGAAAAGAAAGGGAACTTAATTCATAGTAGGTGTTCCTTATGAAGTGCTTAAGCAGGGACAGCAGGAAAAAAAGACACCTGTTTTATTGTCTTTCAATATGTATATATATTTATAGAGTGCATCTAACACCCCGTTGTTCTAGATACACACAGAACAAGACACCTTGAACCAGAATATAACAAAACCAAACAATAATTCATCTGTGCCAGTGAACAAAAGATCTTAAACACATGTACAGGTCTTGAGCATTGCACAACACTCACTTACACAACATTCTGTGAGAGTTTTTGGATTACAGTACACCTTCATTGCCACTCCAGCCTCCAGTCCACTGAAAAGGCTGTTGCTCCTGACAACTGTAGTTCCCATCTTCTCTAGCTTCATCCCCCCCTCCTTCAATGAATGAAGAGTAGAGTAGATCCTTAGAGAGCAACAGCATTTAAACAGGCTAACTCCCTTAGCAATAATACACAGGTGTTTGGGAAATGCTGTAACTGACCCCGGAATCCCTGCATATTCCTGCACATCCGCTGTGTGAGGAACAGTCCCCACAAAAGCCCCTAAAGGAAGATAAAATTAAATGAAGTGGCTGATCAGTGAACATTACATTAAAGTGTACAGCAAATTTCAAGAGTATTAGCAAATTCTATTTTATTTAATTATATTAGCCCCTCTCCATCAGGTTGCTCAAGGAATCCCAAATATCACTGGATTATAATGTAGCTTCAGTTGTGAGATATATATTAGTAAGTAAATGTTGGTTTATGCCCTCCCTTCCCCATCTCAACAGTTTTTCACATGAAACATATAGTAAAATACTTGGCTGCTTTCCCCCCCCCAAGTTTTGAAAAATTAGTCACTACTTTATCTATACTGCAGGAACTCTTTCAACATGGTTGGCAACTGGAGCTGCGGTATAAGATGCAACCTGGCTTTTCCTATGTAGTTTCGGATACGTAGCCGACACAGTTGGCAAAGAGAACATGGAGTGGCTGTAAGTAGATAAAAAGAAAAAGAAATTGTGGCAATTCACTACTTCAATAATTTGCAATGTGTTAATTATATTACAACCTACAATAGAAGCCTTTGGGAATCTGGTACCCTCCAGATATTTTAACTTACATTTCTCAACAGCTCCAGGCTGGGGATGATGGGAACTGCAATCCAAAAATCTGGAGGTCACCAGGTTGACAAAAGTTGTTCTATGGTATGCCCAAACTCACAGTTGACTAGCATAACATTAAAAAACACAAATATTTCAACTGAATATTTGAAGTGCCCTCCGTTTTTACCAACATATGTTTTGTCATTTTGCAGTACAGTTTTCTATAAAAAGCATCGAGGTATTTAATTAAGTAATCATATAAGGTATTTGAATGTGAAAGTTCAGCAGCACACTTAAAATGTCTTGTAACAGAAGAGTCAGTTCCATGAAAGGAAAAGAATGGCAGTTTTTCCATGAAATGAAAATTTGAGACTTATCCGAGACCTAAAAAAGTGTCCTAGACATGAAAACCACTCTAGTTCAGAGCTGGTCAAGGTAGCCCAGTATCAGTGTGACTACAGGAAGAAGTTAAGAAGCTGTCTCATCTCAAATCAAATGTGTTGCTCTCCCCTTGGCAACAGACAGCACCAAAATAGAGGGAAAATAAAAACTGAGTCTCTAAAGAATTCACCCAAAGCTCAGTGGCAGTGGGGAAAGAGAAGAAGGAACCTTTCTTCACCAGACAAGATGCCTGTCAATGTTAACAAGTGTTTAGCAGAACTTCCTTCTCCATTTTCTTGGAACCATTCTTTCCCTCAAAAAAATGGATAAGGAAATTCTGTTTTCACAGGGAGGGGATTTCTATGCAATTTTTCATAGAGTGGGAGTTGGCTCACCTTGCTGGAGAATAACAAATGAATTTCTTCTGAGCTTCTAGTTAACGCATGTGTTACTACAAACCACATGAGGGAACTGTTACTTGCTAGTAGACTCTAAGATAACTTCCCCTCTAAAAGCTGAGCCATTTTGCTTCTCCCCAACTTGTTGAGACAATATGTCTGCGCTTTCTCTCTCTGTCATCTCTACTTCCTGCATAAATAAAGCCTTTGAACTCCAGAAACGGTAAGTGATCTTTCCAATCTAATTCCCCAAGCTGCAAACTCTCCTAACACATCTTACTTACAGAGGAGGTATTGAGGGTCTTTTGTTAAAACTGTATAAAAGAAGCTATGGTCAGCAGCCAAGTGCACCTCTCTAACCCCCGCAGCAGTTCTCAGTATCTCAGCAGCTTCTTGACTCAGAATGGGAGAGAACTTCAATTTGGTTCACATTTAAAGGCAAACCTTTCATGGGTGCCATAGGAGGTACTGGTGGGCACCTCCCACTTGCGGGTGCTACATTGGCAATGCCTATCTTACAGATGTGAAGATGTTTTATTATGGATGCAATTATTCAGGAGGAGCTTATCACTTCCCTCCTCATCCTTGATTAAAATAGAAATGCCCCCCCCCCATGCAGGTATACCTTTTCTATGGCTGTGGGGGTGGGATTTCTGTTCCAATCATGTTTTCCAAAATGGGGGATATCACTATCCCTTCAAATTTATGGCAATTAGTTTTATTCGGCTTTTGCTGTCATTTGCTCTGGTACTCACTGTTTCCAGAAATTATACATAGCTCTTCCCTAAAAGTGCCAAATCCAAATTTTCAAGTCATGGTTACTACTCTGAAATAAACATATCCCTTTTACCTTCTTGTAGAAGCAATACTGTTTCCACCAGACTCCGTGGAGTAGCTACATCTACAGGTCGTTCGAACTCTGTATTTTTGGCATTTATGTCTGCCCCAAACTCAAGAAGTACATTTGCTATTTCAGCACTAGACTGCTTTGCAGCTGCATGTAGTGGAGTTTCCAAAAACTTTCCTTTCTGTACATTAGCACCTATAGATTTAGAACAGGAAAAATAGGAAAATATATTAATTAATGAGGAATTTATATTAAGTAAATCAAAGCCAAATCACAATGTCTAAATTCTTGTTCTCAAAAATTAGATTCTTATTCTAAACACTGGAACCAAATACTTTATATAAAAGTATTGCTAAGGCTGTCAACAATTTTCTTAATTTTGTTGTATATTCTCTATATCTGTTAAGGATAATGGATTGTAGTGTATACTTAGCTAGGGATGAGTAAAACCCTCCAGAAATTATTTGGGAGTAATCATGAAGATTAATGACTGGCAAAAGGTGCTCCAAGTAAGTAGCATAGCAGATATATTTTGTGCTAACTGTGGTTTTGGAATTGTCTTCAAGTTTAGATCCTTGTATAACACATGACAATAATCCAATACTGGCACGAATGATTCTGGATTATTTTGGACAGGCCATAGCTGGTGCACCAGCTTTAGCTGTCTAAAGCAGGCATAGGCAACCTCGGCCCCCAGATGTTTTGGGACTACAATTCCCATCATCCCTGACCACTGGTCCTGTTAGCTAGGGATCATGGGAGTTGTAGTCCCAAAACATCTGGAGGGCCGAGGTTGCCTGTGCCTGGTCTAAAGGTGCTTTGTGCCACCAAGGCTATTTAAATTTGCATAGAAAGCACCAGATCTAATAGCATTCTCATACTTTGAAACTAATGCTTCAGAAGGGAGTACGAGCCTACCCAGAACAGGCCAATCACCCTCACCAAGTCTTTGTCCTATCAGGATTGAATTTCAGTTTATTGGCAGTCATCCAATCCATTACCATTCCCAGGCACCCTTTCACATGAAATCTGATTATACAAAGTTGGCAAGGATAGCAACTGCTTGAGACAATAGGCTATGGAATTAAAATGTGATGTGGATGCTGTTGTTGTCATCCTCACATTATAAAAGATCAGTGTGACTTCTGAGATTTGCTGAAGATGGAACTCAATCTTTAAATGAATGCAAAGCTGAATTGTCATCATTTGAAATATCCTATGTAGTTCATATAATGCAGGCTAGTTATGGATATTGTATATTGCTATTCCTAGAGAATTTTAAATTAATTGGCTCTAGATTAACATCTTCATCTTAAAAGCAGGTTGGTTAAAAGAAATACAATGTAAATACGGCAAGTGAGAAGAAGGAGTAAATGACACTTAATGTAATTATTGTGGGTGCTTCATGATTTTGGCTAAACAAATTTTTACTAATCGTCTTGGTTCAGTTGGAATTCTATACATGACCCAAAATTATATGTATAATTTGACTCTGCTCTGGACCATAAGCGTATCCTTGTGATGGACAAGGAAAGGCCCAGTCTGTGTATGAGTCAACAATAATTCCAGCACATGCTAGTCATAAGCAAGAGGTTGCACCATGACCCAATTAATTCCAGAATCCAGGATCTAATCTAATGCAACATACCCTTAATTCAGAAAAAAAACAAAACAAAACCCACTGAGAATAAATGATTATCAGCTGGAAAGCATAACATGTCCTAATTAAATTAACTAATCCTTTTGCCCATCTGGAGAAATCCAACTCCATTCTCTTTTTTGCAAGGTGGAGGCACATTGTTAACAAACTGAGGTCATCAGGGCAAGAATATTCCATTTACATTTCTTAAGAATGTCAACGCTCACCCCCTTCTTTGTCAACAGGAAATGTAGCCTTGGATGTCCTAAGAATTGTTCACTCATGTACTACTAAACGGTAGTCAACAAGTCCAAGCCCTATGTGAAAAGCTCCTTTTGCATTCAGAGTTTGGCAGTAAGAAGATTTTCCTCTCCCCCCCTATAACTGGGTGCACATGGCATCCCCCAACTTGTTCATTTTATTGGGAGGCTGCTCCACATCAATATTTTCTAAGACACACTACTCCTGTCCTGGTATGTGGAAGTGTGCTGCTTCTTTCATTCATTTAGGCTTTAGCTAGGTTGTGTCCTTACCTCTACCCGCTCCATGCTTCCTTGTCTCCAATACATGTTTGCAGTGGCGTAGCGTGGGGGGTGCAGGGGGGGCCGGCCGCACCGGGCGCAACATCTGGGGTTAGGGCAAATCCATGGGTTAGGGGGCGCAAATCCACAGGTTAGGGGGCGCAAATCCACGGGTTAGGGGGCGCAAATTATTTGCCTTGCCCCGGGTGCTGATAACCCACGCTACGCCACTGCATGTTTGTTAGTTTGTTTTTGGAATTAGTCAGGACCCTTTACAGAGAGGTACCGGCCAGTATCTTACTAAAGGGGAATGTTTTGTTATCTTTAACAGGGTTCCTTCTTGTCATAACAAGAATTCTAGAAGCTGGAGATCAGCATTACCATCTTATTTCTTTCTCACTGGGACAGGTAACAACAACAATCTCAACCTTAGCACTCTTCTCTGTGACCTGTATTTCCTCCAGTCTAACTCCAACCTGGCTCTCATGGGACAAGAAAACTGCTATTTTACATATACAGTTGTACCTTGGTTTCCAAACTGCTTAGTTCTCAAATGTTTCGGCTCCCAAATGCTGCAAACGTGGAAGTGACTGTTCCGGTTTGCAAACTATTTTTGGAAGCTGAACATCCAGTGGGGCTACTGCAGCTTCCAATTGGCTGCAAGAGCTTTCTGCAGCCAATGAGAAGGCGCATTTTAGTTTCTGAACATTTTGAAATTCAAACAGATTTCCAGAATGGATTCCGTTTGACTTCCAAGGTATGACTGTAACCTTTTCTAATCCCTGGGACTTTCTCTTTCCACATAGCAAGCCTGTGCCTTTAAAAACTGGCTCACTGTGCCTTGTTAGATGAATCTCTATTCCTTTCCTTCTGTCTCTGTAACATCAATTAAGTAAATGTTCCAGGCAACATGTGGCTGGGCTCACATGTTTATGCATTATTAACCTATTATTTTCTGTACTTTTCTGTAGTGGCATTTCAAGTCACAAAGCTGCTTTTGCTGCTATTTATTTGTTTTACATTGGCATGTTGTCATCGTTAAACCTTTACTCATTTTAAAATAAACCGTGGTGTGCCTATAGTTGGCTCCTCAGAGCGAGCAGACTAGGATGGTCCATACTAAATCCCTCAAATTTTACAAGGTTATAAAAGTCAATGTAATTCTGTCTGTGCACACACAGTCATCTCCAGTAAATATCTCAAGATGGATGACCTCAAGATTATCCTTTTAGGAAAATGCATGTATTAGGATATGTGTACATTTGAATGTTTACACTTGCACCCTAGCAGATAAGGTAGCAAAACAAGGTGGTCAGATCAAATGTACTAGTTCATTCATAGCAATACAATACACTATTCATTACAGTAAAACTCTGGTCCAGTTTAAGAAGCAAAGTAAAAATATATTAATTAACCTTATGTACCTGAATGCAGTAGCTTGTGTACGCATTGTTTCTGCTGTGAAATGCAAGCCACGTATAGAGGTGTTCCCAGGTGAGGAATATCTTGGTCAACATCTATGCCCCGAGAGATCAGCAGTTCTAGACAGTCACTATGACCTAGTGAAAAGAGAGTGCAATTCATCTCTCAAACTAGGAATTGGATTTACAATGCCTGATGTAGTTTTCGGTTCATTCAGCTAGTCTCTTTTCTTACCTCTGCTAGCTGCTTCGTGAGTTGGAGAAGGGAGGCATGTCTCCCACTGAGCTTTGGCACCATACTCCAGTAGAAGCTCTACACAAGATGCGCTTCCTCTTGAACATGCATTGAATAAGGGTGTCACTCCATCAATTGTTGTAGCATTCACCTAAAGTATTGGATATTGCTATGAGTGGAACTAAAATACTTATTTACATATTATATTTCTGCTTTGGGAATATAGGTTGTCTCCCCCCTCCTCCCCCTCTCAATCGATGAAAAATCAGGAGAATGAAAGAGCTGGCAACATGCAGATGAACAGAGGTAGGAAACTTGTATACCACCTTGTAATGATGTTCAGTAAAGTTTGCCATAGGAAGCATTGAATGCCACCTGAGAGTCTCCCAGCCACAATTTACAGTGCATTAATATCAGTGCAAGGTCTACAGCAGGCTATTCTTATGTTCTTACATACAGAAGAAAACAATACTTGCATTTGCTCCTGCTTCAAGGAGAATTCTTGCACATCCTACGTGATCTCCTAGGCATGCTTCATGTAGTGGAGTCACTTGATCAATGGTCAGAGCATTTACATTGTATCCCTAAACAGGAAAAGAACTAACAGCTGTAAGCCAGTTTGTCCAAGTGACAGAATATTATACGCAAAATATACTTTACTTAGCCAGCATAAGGTCTAAAATCAAAGGGTGAAATCTAATTGGTGCCCCCTTGTGCTCACAGAAGGGTTTTTGACCCAGCAGACACTTCCATTAGCAATTTTTACCACCTTCCAGCCAGATCTGGGGTTCAACAGCTCCTAAATTTGGGTGGATTCTGGGGTCTGCAAATATTGTCTCCCCTCTCCTTCCATTTGTAAAGTCCACCCAAAATATTTTTAAAATTTTTAAATTGTTAATCCAAACAAATGTTTTAGAGCAAACAGTGTTATAAACTGACTGGAGTAGTTACAGTAACTTTCCTGGCTTGGGATGGCTTGGGAAGCTACATGCTATGAAGTTTAAAAAGTTCCCTCGCTACTTTATACAGAGAGAAGGAAAGGAGGGGAAAAGATACTGTTCACTTTTCCATTTTCTAGAATGCCTCTCCCTGATATATAGCTATAAAATGCTACAGTTAGGGCTGGTACTAGCTCCAAACCTGATTCCTCTAGAATTATATAGGGCCTCTCCACCTAGTTTTTCAAATTATCAAAGATGCAGTTGTAAATACTGGAAGTTTTGATTTCCCAGGTCCTAATTTATACGTTAAGGCTTGCCTTCTTAGCTCATACAAGCTATTGGCAAGCCTCTTTTTCCAGCAAATACCTACATGGGTAATCATGAAGGTGATTGTGGAATACAACCTAAATCCCATGCAGATTAATCATTAATTTCAATGGATATATTCTGAGTAGAACTAGCGGTAAATACCACCTGATATAGTTGGCACTCCATGTGGATTGATGGCATTAGGATCTATGTATATAAAAAGGGAAGGATTATTTCCACCTGCAATCTCAGCAGCTGGGAGATGTGGTTTATGTCTTGTTATACTTTGACCCACATGCTCATGCTAAATTAATTCTATTGGTGGAAGAAGTGGGTTGATAGTGGGATTTATACATTAGAGCAGTTAATAAGATTGGATGGAGATTTTTTGTCATTTACAATTTTGCTGTTTAGCTATCTTTTACCTGCTAGTGCTAAATGTCAGTAATTTTCATATTAAAACACTGGATTATAACAAAGAATGCGGGAGGGGAAACGTACTGTGACTGAAATACTTTAACATTTTTACCTGTGCAATTAAAGTTTTCAGAGAAAGGAGGCGTCCCTGACTTGCTGCATCATGCAGTGGTGAGCGATCTGCCCAAGAACCTGTGGAACAATAAATACCACCATATAGTTTAAATTACAAAAGCAGATATGTTTTAATTCATATAAAATAATAAACTGATGATCAATTTTACATTTAGACAACCCCAATCCTACATAATTCCTATTTAAATACAAACCCCATACTTCAGTTTAAATATTAAATTAATTATTTTGTAAATGTAGAAAAAGATGATAAAGTAAAAAAAAATATTCACACAATCCCACCTGAAAATAGGGAACAGGATCTGGCCACTTCCTTCACCACCAACCCATAGGCCACTTTGACCATGATCTTGGGTGACCCAGCTTCAAAGGAAAGAAATGGGAGTGCACTCAGTGTCCGCTCCCAATTCTTTCCTTTCCTCCTTTGGAGCCAGACTGCAAAAGAAGATCCCTTCCAAAAGGCGCTTCCAGTCAGCACAACTCCTGTTGGGATCAGCTGCACTTGGGAGTTCTGGGGTTTGCAAACCCATTTTTGGCAGAGTTCTCAAGTGAGACATCCTGAGTGGAAGCAATCCTAGGGGTTTGCAATTGGTGCCAAATGTAAAAGGCACCAAATGCAAGCCTCACTTGCAAAGGAAGCTAAATCTAATTTCTCCCATCCCTAGCACACAGTTAATTGAGAACAAGTCTTATTGAGATCAATGGGACTTTCTTGTGAGTTAACATATTAGAATGAAAATGCAAGTTGACTAGTCAGAAGGCGGCTTGAAATATCTATAATCCAGTGTTGCTTCCAGATGGAGATTGCAACTCTTTGCTCTGCCTTGCAGAAATGGTGCTTTGTTTTGTAGTTCTGGGATGCTGCAGAAAGTAAGCAATTTCAACAGCAAAATGTAGGGTCCACCTTAATATAGGACCCAAATATGGTATTCATATGATGATAACAAAAAAGTTGCCAGAAGTTAACATGAGAACTCTGGTGACCACCCATTGCATTGAACAGGTCTCTTCTGAGGTACATGGGTGTCCTGGTACAATTTATGAAAGTTATCCTAAATCCACCTTTAGTTTATGCTAGAAAAGCAATCAGCACTTTAAAAATCCTAATCAATATGTATATCCGACAATCACAAAACAAGAAGAAAATGTTGCTCTTCTTGCAACAAATTATTAGCGGCTGCTGTTTACAACCACACTGACGCATCCTCACTGCAGAGAATTCCTCTCTCTCTTGTGCCAATTTGTTTTACTGCCAAACTGAGCTGCCGCCCTAAGACTTTGTTAAGAGCTGCTGCACTGGGAAATGGTAGCAAGCATATAAAGTACCTTATTAACATCTCTCTAGCATTTTGAACTTTGGATAAGGAAAATATCCCAGATGCTAACTTCACAGATTTTTTAAAAAATCTGAATCCAGCATTGCAGTTGCAGTTCTACAAATCATATTTATCCTTATCTATGCTACATCTGCTATCTAATCCTGTGCCTCTTTTTACATGTGTTCACTTGTGCTATGCAGAAAAATGCCTGTACATTTCATTGCCGCAGTGACACAATTTTATTTTTCCCATGATGCTGGAAAATAACCCAAGTCCTGCTTTGCACCAAGCATTCAGGGTATCTCTGCCCACTACTGTTCACATCAGGGTATACATTGCAACATTCCATGGGTGAAAATGGAAACACACTTCTGTACATGTTAGCATCCCTATTTCTGTTTAAGAGGGTGTTTTGTCTTAAACTGGATCTAGTTCTTAAAGAACTGTGGAAGGAAATCAGTGGCCCCCCTGAGGTTATTGGAGTGCCTATTTCCATAAGTTCCAGACCCCATGATCAGTGATTAGGGGTGATGGGTGTTGACGTCCTGCAACATCTTAAGGGCCACCCTTAAGGGTTCCTCACCCCTGTTATTATCTGTTTGGGTGGTTTGGAAGGAAGTAGTCCACTGGAGTTTTGCATCTCTGTGTATACATATGTACAAAAGCATCTCCCTCCCTCCAAGACAGCTAACTTCTAAAGATTATTATGGAAATGATAATGAAACCTGAAGTGCTCTTGAGCACACTAATAACATTTTTAAAAGCCACTCTCAAAGGGAAAAATAGGGTCATTGGGTTTCCTTCCTGGCTAAGTTGGAGTGTATGAAACTCAGCAACTTGTCTTGGCTGGTAGTGACTTTTTTTGATTGATTCTTCTGCAGACAGACTTGTAGATTGTAATAAGACTACTGGTATACACTATGTATATTTATTTTAGAGAATTGTTGCATGTTTTTCAGTGACCTTCTGCTCTCATAGCTTTCCCATTTTTTGTAATGGAGATGGGATTGGGTACCCAGCTGTCTCAAATAAAAAATATACCTTTTAGAAAGGCAGTTGCAAAAATACTCTTTATTCAAAAACAATCTCCCTATGATTCTTTTCTCTCTGACTGAAGTGCAAACTACTTCAAGTTATATTTAGACTCTGCATTCCAAGCCAGCTGGTATCTAATTTACTGGAGTGTACAGTTCTGTAATACTGCAGAGATAAGGCTAAGAATTATAACGAACAGTCAAGTACAAAGAATGATTTAGAAATGTATACAGTACCTAAATCTCCATCTCCCCATGGCATTTCCAGCCAATCGCAATTATAAATCCGGCTCATGTTAAACAAGGAAATAAAACTCTTCCTTTTGCTGCTGCCTATTAATACACTTCAGCCATTTTAGAAGGAGCTCTGCACTCATTATAATATGAACTTTCACCTGTAAAGCCTCTGCAGTAAACAGATATCCAAAGCCCTGAGTTTAGGAATAAGCCAGCTTTCGTTGCTCCATAGAAACACAGTACATGAAATAATTCATAGTTTAAATATAATAATGCATAGTTTAAATAAAGTATAATTGTTGTTTCATTTTATAATAGATAACGTGATGTAGAATTGGGTCTGGATTCAAATCAAAACATCCACTATAAATTGGTCAGGTGCTTTTCAGGAAGACAATTTCTTAGCTTCAGCTCAATAGGAAGAATTGTAATCTGCCTCACAGGATTGTTGTGAGAGCAAATGTAAGAAAAGCTGCAAGTCATTTTACAAGTTAAACCTGTAATAAAAAAAATATCATTTTCATTATGAATATGGATTGTTTCCAGTGGGTCTGAATTAAAAATCAAACGAAGCTTTGTGTAATAAATTATGCCAAACATAGTCTATATGAGCTGTTTCCTGTCATATCCATATATATTTATATATAATAAAAAGTTTATCTACATGACCCCTATATTTAAAGTTATAAGACAATTAGTTTATGCACACATTTGGCAAAAGTAGGTATTGTGGAAGACCTAGGTTAATATACTATAGGATTATATGGTTCTCTTTCATTAGCCATGCTAGAAGGGAAACCCAACATGCAAGATCACCTTTTATTTATTTATTTTATTTCATAAAATTTATATAGTTTGATTGTAAAAAAATCTCAAAGTGGTTTACAAAAAACACACACGAAAAAAATTCAATAAGAAGAATTAACAACAATAAATCAAGACTTTAGAAAGGTTAAAGTAACAATAAACTAAAAACAGATTAAAACCTGCAGCAACTTTCTAAGTTGGCTTAACTAAACAAAAATATTTTTAGAGGGCCCTCCTCAAAGGCGCCTCCTTGATGTCAATAGGCATGGAGTTCCAAAGTGTAGGTGCTGCCACACTAAAAGATTCTTACAAATGTGAAAATTGGTATTATGTGGCACTTGTAACAGTGCCAGTTCTGCTGATCGAAGCAGTTGAGTAGGTGCATATGGGATCTTGTCTGCAGAGACATTCCATCTCCATTTACACTGATACAAGATGGGATTTTGTAGGCATGGCCTGTTTAACCCCATGCTGCAGTTGTCCTCAGAAATGTGGGTGAATGATTGGCAGCCCAGCAGGAACTGTGTGAGGATGTTGATGCTTCCTTAAGGTGAGAGGGCTGCTAAGCTTAATGGACGGGTAAGGAATTTGTAAGGGAAGGCTATGGGGACAAAAATACCTAAGAATTGAGAGAAACAGAAATAATTTTTCCTCGTTAGCAAGCATTTGCCCATCTGCAGCAGGGAGAGCAGGGGCTGTATTAATTCAGTGGTAGAGTCCTTGCTTTGTGGACAGAAAGTCTCAAATTCAATCCCTGGCATTTTCAGGCAGGACTGGGAAGGACTCCAGTCTGATACCCTGGAGAGCTACTGCCTTTGAGTGTAGTAGGAGACTATCCAGAACTAGATGGAAGACTGCAAGGCTGTTTCCTGTTCCCATACACCTTTCCCCCATTCGGGAGCAATGTTAAAGTTATTGCACAATTCTCCTTATAATCTCAGCATGTGAAATTCTAATCAAAATGTCCCAAATTAAAGATATACCACATGATTATGAATATCTCCTCTCATCTTTCCTTTTCACCATGACAACAGACATGATCTAGCAAATAGAAGTACTTTTAAAACCAATTTATTTCTGTTGGAGAGAGAGAAGCACATGCTTGCCTTTTCCAACAAAATCAGTAGGAATTGGCATCGTATATATCTTATACAGAGCTTTAAAAAGTAACCTAATTAATTTGAAGGTGAAAGGAGCTTGAGAGATCTAGAAAATGTAAAATATATTGTACAAGATATATAGTGCATAAAAGTATATAGGTCTATTCAGAAGCCAGGCCTAATGGGACTTATTTCTAGAAACTGCAGCCTAAATGTGCATTGCAAGTAATCAGATAAATAGCACCATTACTATTTTAATATTTATTATGTATGATTATAATAGATAATTGGTTCTATGAATATCCTAATGCTCACATGCCAATCTTTCCACTGACACATGCCAATCCATTTAGGTTTTTTGGATCTGCCACCTTAACCATGAGCAATAAAGCCAAGCTCCACAGGATGTGACAGATCTGTAGTCATATCTCCCATTGTTTCTATTCTTAACTTAAATTACTGGCTGGGGGCTCGAATTTGAATTTGAGCAATGGTACTGAAGGAGTGATGCTTAAACTTTCTGCACAGTTTTCTCAACCTAAATTGCACCCCATTGAGTGGCTATTAGTTTTGTTGCAAAAGAAAAATGCAGGGACCTCTATCTGCCACCCTGTGAAGTTTTGGGAGATGTTTTTGATCAGGAAATCCAGACTAGGAGGATGATTGAATCCTGTTTTCTCAACGCTGCGCTCCAGGACATCAGCTAGTCTTTAAAGATTTGTTGGGAGATAAGATGGCCATGAATCTCTGGTGTCTCATGTATTTTGACCCACTGAAGTGGGCTGGTTAATGGATTTATACAGAAACAAACTTGTAATCTGTCGCCAATCAAATTCAGAGCTATAATAATGCCTTCTAAAGATTCAAATTCTACCCTCTAACAAAATGGCAGTTATATTAATAGCAAATGATATCTGCAGCGCTCCTTGTTTAAACTGACAAGTTTTAAGTGACATGCCTGTATCATTCCTCTTCCTTTGACTAGAAGTATTAGCTTGATCTACTCCGTGAAGCACTGAAAAGCTAAGTATGTTCAATTGACATTTATTTACATTGGAGGGATTTAAGCATGTGCTTAAGCAAACCGTTTAAGTTGATGGTGCTTAAAGTAATTTGTGTCATATAAACATATAAATGCTGTATGTTAGTACAAACAGGTATAAAGGTTGGGTTGACTTAAAAGGGAGTGGACTGCTGAAAAGAGACCAAATTTTCTGCAAGAACGACATTCAGCTGTGCCTGCTGATACAACAGACTCACGGGGAAAGTGAATGGCATGGGAGGGTTAGGGGGAGAGGAGGGGAAAATATCACGAGAGAAAGGGTTAAATTGCTCCTTCTACAGTACTGCAGGGGCGCGTGTGGCGCTGTGGTCTAAACCACTGAGCACTGGCGGAGGAAGAAGAGTGGTGGAGGAGTGCCCTGCCCCTGGCAGCGCGATCCAGGCAGGGTGCCACCGTGGCTGCCCCCCCACCCGTGCTGGGCACCACGCCCCCGCAGGATGTGCGCCCCGCCCCCAGGATGCGCTCCAGCCTCGCCCCCATCTGCTCTCCGCCCCCCGGTGATGGAGCATGAAGCTCTGCCACTTCTACTCAGCCTCTTGGGCTTGCTGATCAGAAGGTTGGTGGTTCAAATCCGCGCGACAGGGTGAGCTCCCGTTGCTCGGTTCCAGCTCCTGCCAACCTAGCAGTTCGAAAGCACGCCAAAAAGAGAGAGGTGCAAGTAGATAAATAGGTCCCTCTCCGGTGGGAAGGTAAATGGCGTTTCTGTGCGCTGCTCTGGTTTCAGTATTCCGTTGCGCCAGATGTGGCTTAGTCATGCTGGCCACACGACCTGGAAAAACCATCTGCGGACAAACGCTGGCTCCCTCGGCCTATAAAGTGAGATGAGCGCTGCAACCCCAGAGTTGTCTGCGACTGGACTTAACTGTCAGGGGTCCTTTACCTTTTTCTTACAGTACTGCTGTTTAGGTGTATTTCCTACTCCTCCTACATAATTTCTTTCAAAAGGAGTCTAACACCAAGGTATTCCGACAGCATTCATATGTCACATGCTCTGATCCCACAGTCTATGTGGTTTGGATCAGGATTTTGTTCTGTGCACACAACTCCCTCCTCCTCCTCTGACACATCTAGCCTAATGTAGCACATTCTGGCTTGTCAAAACAGATCCTTATTGATGTCTGAACTAGCAAACTAGAGGTGATTCCTCCAAACGAAGATTGTCAATTGTATTTTGCAAACTTGGCTTGGTGAGGAAATGGGAAGGAAGGAGGCATGTTCTTCTTCCCAGTCCTCCAGACAACAACTGGAGGGTTGAAGTATGTGGTATCTGAAAGCAGCCACGGTGCATTACATACCAAAGGGTCTGCTCTGAGTGTGACTAACATTAGATTTTGCCTGGTGCCTTAAAATGATCATCTTAATATGAGTTTCTGATTATTAAACTCCAGAATGCAAAATGTTATTGAATCTGACCTTTTGAATCTGGTAATGCATCAACTACAAGAATTAGGCTTGTTTGTTTATTTTAAACCTATATTATCTTACTTAGATATCCTCTTATAGATAATATATTCCATCTGTTAGATAAGGCTTGGCACTCACTGGATGTTTATAGAGCACTAAAGGTGCATATTGCTAGGATAAAATACATAAATACCCTGTTTATATCTACGCAGGGGGAAAGTCTCATCCTCTTTGCCTAGATGGATCAGGGTGTGTATCAATATGATACTCTTAAATTACCCCATCCAGTTAATTTAACATCCCATTTTACCACGTCTGCAGCAACCACAGCCACCTTTTCTACAAATTGCTCCATTGTTAGAAAAATGTAGGGCAGCTACCTGGGCTTCTCCTAACACGTTCACGAGGCATTGCAACATGGACTTATTTGCCTCTGTGGAGGCTGCCTTTGGCAGTTTTCCAACAGGCGTTTATGCCTTAATTTGCTGCAATTGAGACCTGCTCCAATTGGGAAAGCTGTGATATGTCCCAGGCTAGTGGCCTCATGATAAATAGTATGACTGGCACTTCCCTTTACCTGTGGATAGTAGTGCCACAAGTGGTGGGGGCATTGCAATGTTAGAGGATGGAAAGCTACCACTGGTGGTAAAAA